TCTCTCTCTCTCTCTCTCTCTCTCTCTCTCTATCTCTCTCTCTCTCTCTATCTCTCTCTCTCTCTCTCTCTCGGCCCTGCCGGTATCACCACCGCATAAGTTTCTGTGTGTGTGTGTGTGTAACGCGTCATCACACACACACACACACACACACACACACACACGCACACACAATTCCACATCCTGGAGGGGTCATGCCCATGCGGCACGCCGCCGGGGAGGTACCTCATCGCCGGCCGCGCGCATGGCACTTTTCGTTTATAGCTCATTGTTCAAAAGGTTCGCGCCCGGGCGAGCACTTCCTCGCCGCGCCGCGCCACGCTTTTAAACATGGCGGTCGCGCTGTGCTGACGCTTGTGCCCGCTAGCTTTAGCTGTTCCGGATCTTTTGTTATTTTCGTTAGCCGTTTGCCGTTCGTATCCGTGTCTGGACTTCGTATATTAGTTAGAAAGGCCGAGTCACCTGTGGGGATAAGGGGGCAGGGGAAACCCCCCTAGAAACAACACACACGCACAACAAAGTTGACGTGTTTTACGGTTCAAAGAAGTTTAAGAAAATGACTGAAACACATTCGCGATCGCGAGTACAATATCAAATTAAGGTGTGATGTGGTTAAGTCGCACATTGAAAATATGTCAAAAGTTCAGTGCATTAACAAAGTCGTTAAAACTACCGAAACCTTAACAAACGCATGAAGCACAGTATTCATTTGGCACTCCTCCTGTTAAGGCGCGCCTGAACACTTATTTGCGTTTCCCCTATTTCTTTTTACAGCGTAACAGGGGGCATGTGTATGCTCTGAGTACCAGCTTGGTGGCGATGCAGTCCCGCAGAGGACGCGCGCAGGTGGGTTGCCTACCCGCACGGGGCTGAGCGCCCACTGGGGTCGAAGAGCACGGGTCTGTAGACTGCACGCCAGGGCCATGGGGTAAAAAAAAAAAAAAATAGGAAAAGTCGGGGAAAATCTGATAAAATTAAGAAAAGCCGTGAAAAATCAGAGAAAATTATGATAGGTCGGAAAAAATTGGGAAAAAACAGGAAATCACAGGAAAAACTGAGAAAAATTTGGAAAAAATCTGAAAAATTAAGGGAAAGAAGACAACCAAGAAGAATCGGTGTATGATTCAATTTATAGTGAAGTACCCCTCGTGCGCTCAAGCCTGACCCATCGTGGTGGCTCAATCGCCTTCTTTTTCGCTGATTTCCTGCAGCCGCACGGCGATTTTTAGGCGCTCTCAAACTCCGGCGCTCGATACGCAGGATTCGTCCGCCTGCCTCACTGCGCCTGCTTTCCGTTTCGCCGCCGGCGCTGCAAAGCGATACTGTAACCTTTGCATTTATTGCCAACCTCTCTCGCGGTGCTGTGCGGTGCGGGGGCGTTCAGCGCGGTGTGTGTGTGTGTGTGTGGGGCCCCTGCGGGCGAGGCGCGGCGTGGCGCGGCGGGCCCCTCCACCACCCTATGGCGGGGACCTTGCCGACCAGGACGTCGACGACGACGACGGGGTGGTGGCAGGGGTACGCGAGAGTGAGAGAGGGAGAGAGAGAGAGAGAGAGAGAGAGAGAGAGAGAGAGAGAGAGAGAGAGAGAGAGAGGGAATGTGTGTGAGTGCGCGCGCTTGTTGCCGGGCGCTGGCGGCTCCGGTGAGAGGGGAGAGAGGGGAGAGGGAAGGGGAAGGGGCCCGAGCCTGCCCGAGCTGGCAGCCCACGCGGAGCCGGACAGCCGGAGCAGGCGGACGGACTGGCGGGCGGCCTGGCTGTGCTGCGCGCCGCCGCGCTGGCCGTGTTGCAAGGATTGGGAATGAAAGTAGTTCAATAAGCCTTGTGCGGCGAGCGGTCTGGTCGGGGCGAAGCGCGCGCCGAGCGCACCAGCAGCGGCGCAGCAGCAGACGACGGGACGGTAGCAGACGACGCGCCGCCTCCACCCACCTGGATATACCCGTGTGTGCGTGTGTGTGTGTGTCGATAAGAGAGTTGAGTGAAGGCCGGGCAGAGGGCCCGCGAGTGATAGTGAGTGTTGTTCTATTAACGTGAGTGATCGCGAGTGTTGCTCCACGGTGTTGGCCGCCATGGTGCGGGCAGTGCCGCCGCGCCCGAGGTAGAGACCACTATGGCGGAGGACAGACTGGTGCCCGAGCCACCCTGGAGTGAGAGGACCGCGACGAGGACGACGACGAGGAGCTGAGGAGGACGACGACGCCGCCGTCCAGGATGTCGACGCGGACGGCGCCGCCGCCCGCCGCGCTGCCGGACCCGCTGGCCAGCGGCAGCGGCAACAGCTCTGAGATATTCCACAACGTGAGTGAAGTTTTTCGGGCTTGGTGAATTCTAGCGAGAATGTCTAGGAAATGGACTTTGAATGCACGTATTCTCAATTTTACTACGTTTTTTGATGTTTCCAAGCTCTGAGATTTCGCGGTAATTTGTCACAAGTAAAATGTTTCCACGACATTCAGCACATTTTATCGTTAAATCTTAAACCCTTTTAACTGAGGATACGACGTGTTTCCCCAATATGTCGCGTGTCTTAATTTCTCACTAAGCGCCTGATTCGGAGTCGTGGAACAAGTTCCTCAAGGAACGTTGACGATTTAGTGAGATTTGCTACTGCGGCCACCGAGAATAAAACTTCATTTTAAAAAATCAGGAAAGATCAAAGAAAAGTCGCTTTTTAAATTTGAACAAAAAAAAATCAAAATCAAATCAGAAAAAATCACAGAAAAATCAAGAAGAACAGAAAAATTGGTGTACGCTTGTTTCGAAGTACCCCTCGCCGGCTACGATGCCTTGCGCGCGCTGCTGCTCACCAGCCTGACGTTCTCGGTGACTTGAACGCACGCCAGGGCCGGAGCCCCTTCCCGGTCCTGCCGCATAGGGCCGCGGGCAGCGCCGCGTTGCGCTCCGGGGGGGAGGGAACGCGGAAATATCTTTGCGCCTCAGGAGGAAAGACGACGAAAAATAAAATTGGATATCCTCCGCAACCGCCCCTCTCAGCAGCGGCAACAGCATTTTGCTGCAAGAGCGCAGGGTTTTCAATGTCTTGATAATTGGCGGTTGTTGGACGGGACGGGGACGGGGTGGAAGGGGGGGGGGGGTATACCGCCCCTTATTGTTCAAGTTCACATTGCGCAGGGAGAGAGGGGGGGGATTATACGTGATTGCAGTCCGAAGCCCTTCGGAGCCCACTAAATGAGTGCAGAGCTCGACGGTCCCGCGCGTATTCTTGAAAAGTATTATGGTCTCGTCACATTAAAGAATTAGCTTTGCGCAATTTACTTCATGCGTCACTCACTGTAAAAAACATGCGTAGGCTTTGCGGGAACATTTTCTTCCAAAAATGTTGCGGAAGGTAGGAATTTAAATGGCAAAATTTACTTGTCATGACATTCTGTATGGACTTTCGGCAAGCAAGAATGAGCTCTGTCCTAAATGTTCAATAACATCGTTTATAACTCATATCATAACGAAATATTGTGCGTTTCTAAAGAAATTGTTGTATTTCTTCCTTTTTTTTTTTTTTTTTTTTGATTGATCTAATACTTGCTTAATTGAAAATGCACTGGAAATGCAAGTGTGCGTCAAACGTTTTTAACGTTCCCGGAACGTGTTTGCTCTTTAAGAGGAGGGGCAAGCTCGTGCTCTCGTCTGCGGGAGACGTTAAAAGTAAGAGCAAACCGCTCCTCGCACGCGGTTCTCTCTTTTCTCCCAGTTTCTCGATCGTGTTCGTCGACGCTCTGTGCTCCTCCGCAGCGATACGCCCCCCCCCCCCCCTAGTCCGACGTTATCGAAATTGCGGTCATATCGACGGTGTAATGACTCTTATTATCATCGACATCGCTGCTCGCGGAGGGAAGGCCGACGGTCTGCTGCTCTGTGTGCCGAGCGAGGTCGGCGCTCGACACATGACCGTCCCTCCGAGAGCGCTGTCGTTTGAGTTTGTTTTTGTGTCCTGTCGCTTCGCCGTCCGTCGGTCCGCTCGGCCAGCCGGCCCCGCCGTATGAAGAAAGCCCCCCCGTCCCACTTTGCTGGCCCAAAATAAATATCGATGACGACACAACAGAGCGATCGTTAAACCATTACCGCTCTCACCGACCAGCCGGCAAGACGCCGCGCTGCTCCGCCGCCACCGCCACAGCTCCCGTTTTTGCTCTCTTTTCATTATTATTATTATTTTTTGCAAGGTAATTGCTGCACGCCGGCCAAAAAAATAAAATTACGCCGGTCTCTCAGGGAGTGCAGTAATTAAACAGCTCCAAAAACGTTTCGTCGGGATTTTTTTTTTTGTTTTTTCTATGGGGAAGAGAAAACCAAAAAAATTAAATGTCGCGGGAAAGACGTGCGAGACTGCAGTATTGGTAGTATGCCGTCAGCTCGTCAGAATCAGGCTTTCCTGGAGAGAAATCAAGGTTGGATCTGATTTATATTTTTAAGAGGTACGTGGGTAACGACGTATGCTGTGTCATGATTTCATTGCGAGGCCCGTGGTGGCCGACCCGAGCAGCCCGCCTCGGGAGGCCAAATCATTATGACGCAACGGCGATGCAGCTGTTTGTTGAGGTTGTGTTCGGCGTTTAATATTTGTTAACCTTTTTATTACTTTCTGTTTTGTTTTTGTTGCTGTTGTCTTTCTTGGGGTAGTGCGCGGAGCGTTGTTTGGCGTTGCGGGGGCTTGTGTGGTGCGTTTGACGTGGGGGGTTATATGACTCTCGCGTGTCAGCCTGTGCTGCAGCGGCAGCATATAGGACTTTTGCAGCCACTCAGACTTTTATAGGTTATAATGCTAAGGTGATCCTTTTATTTATATCTTTTTTTTCTATGAAAAATTTGTAACAGCAGACCATGTTGAGTGGCGCCGGGGCGTCGTATAGGGTACTGTGCGCCGCGCGTTGCCGGTGCTCGCGGGTCGCCAATTGGATTAGGGGCCGCCGCGTTCAGAAACCATCTGGACTGAAATAATGGGGGGATACAAATATTATGGGGTCCAAAAAAAGATCAGAATGGTAATTGGAGTCCATGGAGACCCCATGATATTTCTACCCCGGGGTACAAATATTATGGTGTCCCTATACGACCGTCCCCATCCTTTTGGGACCCCATAATATTTGTACCCCCCACTCGAGTCCATTTGGTTTCTGAGCGGCCCCATAGGATACGGTACTCTGCTTGCTGGTCGCGAATTGGGTTAGGTCGGTATTATGTGCGCGATAAAGACAGACGGACACTGTTGGCGCCGCGGGGTCCGGGCCGGCGGCGTGCCGGGGGGCGGCCGCGGAGCAGGCGCAAAGCACCCCACCAGGCTGGAGGCTGTTTTTCCTTCTTGTTTACGACGCCGATGGATCGCAACGAAATGAGCCCTAGCGCAGCGGCGGCAGCCACTTGCCTTGAACCTGATCAGACCCCTTGTGCGTGCTGTGTGTGTGTGTGTGTGTGTGTGTGTGTGTGTGTGTATGTGTGTGTGTGTGTGTGTGTGACCACGCTATTGTGTGCCGCAGCCACATGGAGAAAGACCTTTTGCACTGCAACCCATCAACAGTTTACTTTTAAGGCCTGTAAAAATATTTTCGATACATTTATAATTTTATATCGGGACAGTGAGGCACTGTGGAATTTTTTTTTATTTTTGCCCTCCGATCAGAAATCTTTTTTTTTTTTTTTTTTTTTTTTTGCCGTCTGTCTGGCACCCTTATCAAAATGAAAAATAAAATATATCTCTGACCGTATTGGCGGTGCCTCCCTCACCTGCGTCGCAACGCTGACAAAATCGTGCGCGCCGCGCGCGTTAGCATATGCCATTCATGGTGCGAATTCCGTGGAGCGGGCTGCGCCGGGCTGCGCGGGGTGTGCTGCTTGCTGGCGAAGACTGTTATTAGTAATTGGAGGTGCTTGCCTGCCTCAACCAACTAGGAAGACATGCGTCTCACAGCAGGACTCGTGTGTGGACTCAAGTCGCAGAGAGAGGGGAGGGGGAAGTCCTGGGGCCGCCAAGAGCAGGGCAGCCTGAGCAGCCCAGCGGGAGTGATCCTGTATGTGGAGCAGGATCAAGCCCGGCTCGGCTCGGCTCGGCTCGGCTCGGACCGTAACGCGACGTTTGGCGGCAGGCCGGCAGTTCCACACGACGCCCGAGTGGAGAACAATAATTAACAGAAAATTTTGGCGTCTCGCCAGTCGTGGAACACACGACACGGGGGAATACGGCGCCTCACGTTGGGGAATCAGATCAGATCGCGCTCGGGCCGCGGGGACCGCGGGGACTATGGGGCCGTTCACAAACCACGAGAACTTTGAGGGGGGTACAAATATCATGGGGCCCAAAAAAAGATCAGGACGGTCATTGGAGTCGATTGGAGTCCATAGGGACACCATGGTATTTCTACCCCGGGGTACAAATATCATGGTGTCCCTATACGACCGTCTCCATCGATTTGGTACCCCATAATTTTTGTACCCCCCCCCCTCCTCCTCCTGCTAAAGTCGACTTGGTATCTGAACGGGCCCATGGCGGTGTAGTGGAGTACGGCTGCACCGCTGGTTAAAAAAAAAATATTCTGTATAATTGTTAGTCCGGAGGACATCATTATAAGCATTATCATGAAGCTGACTAAAAAGATCGCCTGGAGCGTCATGTAGCAGCCGCAGTATTTGACAGTCTAAAATCTACGACGGGGATTGGACTTTGCGATGATCTTAATAACGTTAATTTGAATAGCATTCGCTCGTGCGTGGCGATCCTCCTCCATGGCGACGACTCGTTCGCGCGCGGCACAGAGGCGACCATAAAAATAATTTCCGACTAACCCGTGTGTGGTGGCCGCGTTACTCGTATGAGGTGGACACTCCGCGATTGGTTCAAAAGTCGTAGTAGAAAAACAAGAGAGTTCTCGACAAGGCCATTAAAAAATTGGGTTCCAGCAGAAAGAAAGAGTAAAAATCAGGCTTGGTTTTTTATTATGATCAATCAGCACGGCGCAAGCGCCCAGCTCAGCAAGTTTTCTTCTTTTTTTTTCCTTTTGCCACACGTGATTTATTTCACTACTTTTTGTTGAGTCTGTTGTCTAGTTTATCTGTAATATCTGTCGCTTCTCGCGTGAAACGCGTCGGAAATAGAGAAATCATTTAAGTAGTGTCACTCGTCCGATGGCCAGCCATAGGACGAGATAGAACATCGTTTTTTTTTATCTTTCCTTTTCTTAGCAGTACGGAAAATAGTTTTATGGTTTGACTGAAAATCTGGTGAATACATTTTTTTAAGAGCGTTCGTTTCACACACTTGAACAAAAAAATATCCGGTATTTGCGCGC